TGCATACCAGAACAATTCAAGATCACTGTTACGGTACTGCTCAATGGAATTCTAGTGAGATCTCAGAAAGAGGAAAGCGGATGAAAAAGAAACCATCTTCTCAGAGAATACGTAACTAATTATCAACAGAATGTTGGCAGAAATATTGATGGTAAAGGCCATTCTGATAAGGTTTCAGACAGAAATGGGGAACATGTTACTGAACAACTTTTTTCAAAGCAATACTTGTTATAAAGTGGCAGAAAATTATTCCGAATTGTGTTCTTTTTCTAGTGTTTTTTGAAAGGTAGAACTTGCAAGTGATGAAACTGGATATTTATCTGATATTCTATGCAAAGGGTTGAAGAACTGGTTTCATTCCTCCTGACTGCTCAGAGTATAATGCAAAAAAAGAGAAATGATGTCGAGACAGAATTGTTAAGCAAAAGGGAACCAGGACTTAAAGATTTGGAAAATTCCCAGCCTGTCTATATTGCAAAAACAAAAACAAAAAAGAGAAATCATGTGCAGAAGAAAATACCAAGCGTGTGTCTAACCAATCACTTATGGAGATTTGTGTAAGTGGGAACCACAGACCTAATCGGCGATCTCAACTGAAGCCAGAAAAGAGATGGGATTATATCAGTAGAAACACTGCCGGCTGAGACTAAACATTCAAAAAGGACAGAATGAAGCAAGCTTGTGAATAAGTGCTATTCCTCAAGAAAAGGAAGGAATCCTCTCTCCACCATGTGAGAATACTGCAAGAAGGTTGCTGTCTGCAAGTCAGGAAAAGGGCCTTCCCCAAGAACCACATCAGTGGGCATCTTGATCTTGGCCTTCTCAGCCTCCAGAACTGTGAGAAATAAATGTGGGTTGTTTAAGTCATCCAGCCTGTAGTATTTTGTTATAACAGCCCAAGTTGACTAAGACACTTTCTTTCCTTTAGCTGAGCTTTCTGCTCTCATTATTCCTCCTCCCTCTTGCTTCTTTCCTCTTGTTTCCTGGATCTTGTTATTTCATTTTTGTGTCATGACAGGTAACGTGAAATATCATACTATAGCAGATATGGAGATTTGCCACTCAGATCACTTCAAGAAAGGACTTCTTACCCAGCAGTGGGGGGTGCAGTCACCAGGAAGCCTCCTACTGTAGCTTCTTCATAGTCTTAGGTGCAGAAAGCCACCTCACTCAAGTTCACATTCTTCCCAGCAGCCTTCATCACGTGACTAAGCAGAGTGACAGGGGATAGGAGAGAGTAGGGATATGGAAGCTGGGTCATTTCAACCCAATAGAAGACCAGTCTAACAGGCAATGCCTGTTCTCGAGCTACCTACAGAGGCTTCATTGGGCTTGCACTGCATGTTAGCTTTTTCCTCTAGTTGATATTGCTTCCAACTCTTTTCCTCATACAAATACTGATCTTTAATAAACATCTTGAACCCCAGACGACAGCTCAGTGTCTACTCTCTCCTTCTGGAGAACACAGCCTGCAACTGTGCAAAAATAAATTGCTTGGATCATCTGATGATGACGGGCTATTAAATAATTTGGAACACTGAGCTTTCACTTTTGTACAACTTCAGATTTTTTTCACTGAATCACCATTTATTCAATAAATATTTGAGTACCTCTTATGAGCTAGGCACTGTGCTTGGTAGAAGATACATTAAAAATGTCTGGAATGCAGACATGGCGCTAGAGGTAAAACAGACATCTCGTAATCATGAAAATGAAAGCTATACTCTAAGGGGCAGCAGAACAGAGCCAGAAGGAGCTTTCATGAAGCAACAATTACTCCTCTAGATTGCCTGTCTCTGGGCTTCTCATTGTATGTGAAAAATAGCCACTTCTTGGGTTTTCTGTTACCTGCAATGGAACACAATCTCTAGCTGATGGAATCCCCCCTCCTTGGTACTGAGTATGCCTGATGCAAATACCATTCCTTGGCAGTTGTTTGTTAATTTATGGATTGAGTGAATGAATGAATGAATGATGGTGCTTGCTTTTATTTTACTCCATGTTCCCTGGTCAAATCCACAAAGTCAGCCAATAATCAAGCTAGGAGAATAATTTGGCCTCTGGTAGCTTGCTCCTTGGCTCAAATCTGCTCATCCCATTCTTCCTTTTGCATTTTAAAAGCATGTTCATTTTATACATTTTCGGGCATTACCACATCAAAATGAACAACAAAAAAAGGACTAAAAAGGACTTCTCTGGTAAGATCATTTTGACACTTTTATCTTCTATATTTTATATTCAAATTAAAAGAAAATTTGACATATGGAATATGAGGCTTTATAAACATATAACATATTATTTAAATGCTTCCGTTTCAGAGGAGCTGAGAGATAAACAGCATGTCTGTAATTACCCCTCCACCATCAACAAACTTCAAATTACCATCTACTCTCAAAGGCAGAGAAAATTTAAAAGTGGTTTTTATGAAATTTCAGAAGTTACATATTCATTAATTTGTTATATTAACTTCTATGACTCCCGGACACAGAATCTGTCTTCAGATCCATTTACTTGAAGGGAATTTTTCAATCTGTTTGATAGAGATACAAGAATGACCACAAGGATAAGACTGATCACCAAACAAATCCAGAGAAAAGCATTCCACCAAAATTAAAACCACCGATGATGTGACACTAGATTCAGCTTATCTCCATGTCCATTTTCTTCTTCCCAATCACATTTTCTATTCATATTTTTGATTATACGCCTATTAAACAATCATTCATTCAACAGCAATTATGTGCAAGTACAGTGCCAGGCAGCACGAAGAAATAAGGCATGGTCCTGGGCCTAAAACAGGAATTTACAGCCAGACAAGATACAGCAGATACATAATAAAGCACTTAATAAAAAGTAATATGTCAAAAAGAAGTAAACATAGACTGCTTGGGGATCACAGGAGAGAGAAACTCAACCTAGCATGGAGGAAGAGTTCAGGAAATATCTCTCAGAAAAGACAGCCTTTGCATTATCTTAAACAATGAACAGAAGTTACTTAACCCACTGAAAATTTTATTCAAATCCAACTGCTTCTCAGCATATCCATTGCTACCAGCCTAGTGTATCATTCATCTACCTGGATCACTGCGATGGCCTCCTAACAGGTGCCCCTGCTGGAAACTGTTGTGCCTACAGCAGCCACAGTGAGCTTCTTAAAAGGTGATCAGATGATGTCACCCCTCTAATGGCTTTCCTACATTCTTTTTTTTTTTTTTTTTTTTTGAGACGGAGTTTCACTCTTGTTACCCAGGCTGGAGTGCAATGGCGCGATCTCGGCTCACTGCAACCTCCGCCTCCTGGGTTCAGGTAATTCTCCTGCCTCAGCCTCCTGAGTAGCTGGGATTACAGGCACGCGCCACCATGCCCAGCTAATTTTTTGTAGTTTTAGTAGAGACGGGGTTTCACCATGTTGACCAGGATGGTCTCGATCTCTTGACCTCGTGATCCACCCGCCTCGGCCTCCCAAAGTGCTGGGATTACAGGCTTGAGCCACCGCGCCCGGCCTCCTACATTCTTAAATAAAAGTCTTCACTATGTTTCTAAAACCCTACAGGCTATGGTAGTTGGCTACCTGATGGGTCTTATTTCCCATTACTCTTCTCTTGGCTGACAGCAGCTCCATCTACACTGGCCCCCTTGACATTCCTCAGACACACCAAGAAATTTGCCCAAGTGTTTGTACGTGCTGTTCTTGCCTAGAAACATTCTAATGGCTTACTCACCTCATTTGGATCTCTGCAGAAATGTCACCTCCTCAGGGAGGCGCTCCATGAACATACCATCTAAAATAATACACCCCATCACTCTATCTCCTTACGTTTCATTGGTTTCATTTTCCTTCCTAGCACTTATCACTGTCTAATATGTATTTGTCAATTGCCTGTTTTCCCTTCTAGAATGTAAGTTTTATGACAGCAAGACTTTATTTAGTTTACTACTATGTCCCAGCACCTGGAGCAGTTCCTACACTTAGTAGGCACTTGATAAATATCCATAGAATAAATAAATATATCACATGTCCTCCTAATCTAAAAAAAGAAGAAAGGAAAAGATAGTGTGTTCAGAAGTTATTTATATGGCAAGCCCAGACTCTTTACTCCCATTCTAATTGAGCTAAGTAATCTGTTCTAGCTAACAACATGAAGCCAAACATAAAAGATCATCTTCCAAGTGAATGTGGAGAGTGGGTACTTGTTTAAAAAGTTGTAAAAGTATTATTATTGAAAATCAGAGTCATAAAACTGAAAGCTTTTTTAAATCTTGCAAGTTCTCAGTGAATACAAGACCCAAGTTCATTTGGAAACACATGTTCTGCAACCTCAGCTTAGTGTTACGCTCCAAAGATAGGATTTTCAGTTGGCCAAGGGTTCCTTGAAACTTTGTTGTCCATCCACATTGTAAAGTCGTGTAAAAATTTCTCTACACATACAGGTAAGAGTTCTTAAAATGGCAACTCAAAGACCCACTGCATTCAGGAATTGGGGAGGAAGGGCTATGTAGTATTTTTTAAAATTTGAATTAGTTGCCTACATTTATATATTCAATTTCACATCAAAATCCATCTCTCGAAAATGTGAAAGATCTACCAACACATATTAATAATAGTCAGCTGGAGCTGAGTTATAGCTGCTCCCTTCAGATAGGCTAACTACAGTATCACCTAACATCATTTATAGGTTCTTGAAAACTGAAGCTTTAAATGACATGATGTATACCTGTGGCCAAGCAATGTGCTCACTTCCTGATTAACATAGACACACATACTATGACACCAGTTTTTTTGTTTTTTTTTTTTAAAAAAGGCTTTATTATGAGGTTGGCTGGCAAGGAGACAGGAGACAGTACTAGAGGTAAAATAGACATCTGGAGTCTGGGGCTAGTTTTTTGGGTTAGAGAGAGCAGGCTGGTATGCAGAAGTGCTGGCGAGTAGGTTTTGATTGGAAGAACTTTAAACGAGACCATATGCAGTAAAGTATGGTAAGGGATCCTAACACCTACCATTCCTTAGCTTGTAACCCTTCACTTTTGAAAGTGTTCTGGCCTTCAGTTCTGACCAAGTCTTGATACATTTGTTCCATGAGGAGAGTGAAACTTCAGTGCCAGATTTTATTTGAGGTTGAAATCTTTTCTGTGCATACTTCCACTGTATGACTTGCAATTTCTTCACTTGGTGCCTATAAAATAATTTAATATCCTGTTATCAATGGAGTAGAGCCAGTCAAAACTGGTTCAGTAGTTACATAAGAAAACCAATTTTATAATAGGCTAATTGACATAAACAAGAGTTAAGTTCCTATGGCATATTTCTGGTCACAAAAACATCATCAAACATCTAAATAAAGGTGAAAAGACTTCTAATAGTAAACATTGAAATAAATGTGAGCTATACATACAAATCAGAAAACGTAACAAAAATAAGTAAGGTAACTATTTACCCAGTCATTCCAGTTGAGGGTCATGGGTGACCATAGCCCATTCTAGCAGCTGGGTCACGAGGTAGAAGCCCCTGGCAGGCCAGATCTCACTAACGCAGGCCTCCATTACAACTGTCCCAGCACTGACTGAGTAGCTAGGTTAAACATTAAAAGCTGATTGCACCAGTGCCTTTACACAAAGGCTGGAATGTAACAAAAGCCCACCAAGAGTTTTGCCTAGGCCTTTCCTGGGTCTTAAAGCATGACAAAATAATGAAGTAATTAACAGGACCCATTTAGGATTAAACAAGTTTTATTGGGAGGTCTGAACACACTCCCCGGGCCTCCATAAGCAAGTTTATTGCAGGTCTAAAGAACTCCCCAAACCTCCATGATTTACCAGGAGACCAGAGAAGGGTAATCACCCCCACACCTGGACGCATTTAGATTAAGTAAATTTACTAAGGCTTCAGAAGAAAGTCTTCAGGATTCAGACCCTAGTTATAGATTAAAAGAAGTTAATCATTTATGTCTTTAGATGAATGCACACTTACATGTAGACATATAGCTTAGAAGGTATATAAGCTCTGGAAAACTTTGTAATTTTGAGTTGTTCTGGAAATAATTTCCAGCCCTTCTCCCTGTAACCGGTTACATAAATAAAAACAGTCTTCCTCCCCAGTTCATATAAGTCTCATTATTGGGCTACAAGAAACAGCAGCGTGACCCTCAGTTTGGTCCAAGAACAAACCCTCACTGGACAAGACGCCATTCCATCACAGGACGCACTCCCACACACATCCACACTCACTCAAATGGGGACAATTCAGATATGCCAGTGAACCTCACGTCTTTGGGATGTGGGAGTAAACCAGGGTATCTGGAGAAAATCCATGCAGACTTAAGAACACGAAATCATGAAGACAGTGGCCCCAGCCCAGAATCAATTTTTTTTTTTCTCATCGGCATTATAATAAAATGATACTGAAGAAAACAATGTTATTCCAGGACCTGCTGTACTCTGAAGCACACCTCAATGCTTACACAGATTCTTTATTAACTCAGGTGGGTTCTCTCATTTATTCCACCTGTCTAGTCCCTGCAGGCATTTAAGTTTTTAATCACCAGCCTTAAACTTGATTGGTTAATTGTCCCAGAGACAGGCAGATTGTCAAAGAAGCAAAAGCACTCATATAATAGCCACGAGGAACCACCGACCTTTAAAATAACACAAGCCATTGTAGAAACGTAGAACGGGGCCTCAGAAATCATCCAGTTTTCCTCATTATGATAAATGAGGAAACAGAGGCCCAGAGGGGTCAAACTTTGAGCAGATCTTGATGCCCAAGAAGGTCCTCTGTCTCGCCGACTGAGCACCTACCAGAACACATATTTGTGAGTTAGCAAACATTGCATTGTAGACCTGTTTACAATGTTCTGGAATGTTTTGAAAACATTTTTTAAAGCCTAATTACTAGGAAAAGGCAGTATTTCTAACCACTTAAGCTCAACTGGGAAAAAAATTCTCTAGAATAAAGTTCCCATGAGGCCAAGACAAGATGTGAAGAGCTGAAGTTGCCTAGATCAAGAGTCAGAAGATTGTTTCAGTAAACGGCCACGATAGCCAGTATTTGAAGCTTTGTGGGCAATATGGTCTCATGGCAACCGCTCAACTTTTCGGCCATCGCATGCAGCATCCATGGATAAGTAAGTAAATTGGTGCTACTCTGTTCCAAAAGAAACTTTATTTATGTACACTGAAAATTGAATTTCATATAATTTTCATGGGTCATGAAATCTCTTATTTTTTCGTTGAACCACTTAAAATCTAAAAAGTATTTCCAGCTCATAGATCATACAAAAACTGAGTGTGGACAGGATTTTGCCCCTGGGCCATAGTTTTCGGATCTCTGGCCCAGATCACAAGGGTAGATGAGAGGAGCAGCCAAACCTACTTGTCCTGGGATCTCAGGGTTTTGTTCAATCTGAATGCAAGATTTCTCCTCCTAACCAGACCAGCCTGGTGTTTTTTATGGTATTTCAATTGTCTTACAGTTTGTCAAGTTTATACCATTTACTCATCTTCTTGGCTGATCTTCACAATTATCCTGTGAGGTACATAGGGCAGGTATATATGTTATGTTTCAAATTTGCTCATTACCTGTACAGATTATAATGACAATAATAAATGAGAAATTCACTGGAAATATCACCACTTCAAGAAACAATATTTAACATTTTTCTTTATATTCCCACATGCCTTTGTCATATTTATGCAGAATTCTACAGAATTGGCCTCATAATAGGAATATAATTGTATATTCCAGTTTTTTGCATAATTGATCCATGTATTATAACAATATTCCCAGAAGTGAGATTACCAGATAAAAGGACAGTAATACTTTTTGATTCTTAATACGCTTTGGAAACTTCTTTCCAAAAACTTACATGAAAGCCACTGGTAATGAGCTTGATAGGAGTAAGATCTGCAATCCTATGGCACTATAGGTTGACTAGCGTTAACAATAATTTATTGCATATTTTCAAATTACTAGAAGAATGGATTTTGAATGTTCTCAACACAGAAACAATTTTTAATGTTTGAAGTGATAATTATGCTAGTTACCCTGATTCTATTGCTATACCTGGTATGTATAAAAACTCACTATCTACCCTATACATAGGTACAATTTTTATGTGTCAAATAAAAATTGAAAAAAGAGAAAATAATGTATGCTATCATTGGAGAAAATTTGGAATATGCAGAAAAAATACCCAGGAGAAAACAAAATATTTTGTTTATAAAAAGGCACCAGAATTAGCCAGGTATGGTGGCATATGCCTATAATCCCAGCTACTCTGGAGGCTGAGGCAGGAGAATCGCTTGAACCCAGGAAGTGGAGGTTGTGGTGAGCAGAGTTCATGCCATTGCACTCCAGCCTGGGCAACAGAGCAAGACTCTGTCTCACAAAAAAAAAAAAAGAAAAGAAAAAAAAAGCCACCAGTCATGTATGGATGTACCAGAAAAGAATTTTCATTAGCACGGGGTTAAAAGACTGGGTCATGGAGCAGCCCAACTCTGTCATTGACTCTTGTGTTACTTTCAGAGTGTTACTTCTACTTTAAGCTTCGGTTTCCTCATCTGTCAAATAAGGACAATAATATATGTTTTATGTTAGGATTAAAAGAGATGATCTATGTAACAGTGACTTATAATAAACAACTTCCAAATCCCAGTGAAGGTTATATCATGATGATGCTAATGATGATGATAATGGTGAGAATGAAGGTAATGATAATGGTCATGATGAGCTTCGGTTTATTCATGAAGAACCCGGATTCAGATTAGTTAAGTATCTTGCCTAATGTCACACAGTCAGCTGAATAACATTAGGATTCTAATGCATGTCTTTTGTTGTTTATCTTTGACGGTAGCCAAGGATCTTGTGGAACATTTAACATATAAATAGTTTAGATTTCTTGCTTACTCTCAAGAACATTTTGTTTTCAGACCGATGTCTAAGTCTTAGATATCAGCCAATCTGTTCTTTCTGTATCCGAGGACCCACTGGTCCAGCTCTAACCTTGCTACACAAAGCCAGACATGAAATTTTTACTTTGCACTTTAAAAAGCAAGTATCAGATGAGCACTATACAGCATAATCTGTCTGCCTTCCAGCACTCACATCAACCTAGTCACCAAGCTTGCCACAACAGCCTTTTATTTCTAACAGTATTTACTTTGCTATTTAAAGTAGATGTCGACAGGTTTTAACATTGAGTTCATTTATATTCATAACCTTTTATACAAACTCCAATATTTCAAGGTTAATGAAATCAGCACTTCCAAAACTGAGAACTAATATCCAAGAATAATTCATATATGTTAAAAATATTACTTTCAACTGTAAATTAGTTTAACCATTATGGAAGACAGTGTGGTGGCTCCTCGAGGACCAGAAATAGAAATTCCATTTGACCCAGCAATCCCATTACTGGGCATATATCCAAAGGATTATAAATCGTTCTATTATAAAGACATATGCACAGGTATGTTCATAGAGGCACTGTTTACAATAGCAAAGACCTGGAGCCAACCCAAATGCCCATCGATGATAGACTGGACAGGGAAAATATGACACATATACACCATGGAATATTATGCAGCCATAAAAAACAACGAGTTTGTGTTCTTTGTAGCAATATGGATGAATCTAGAAACCGTCATTCTTAGCAAACTGACACAAGAACAGAAAACCAAACACCACATGTTTTCACTCATAGGCGGGTGATGAACAATGAGAACACTTGGGCACAGGGAAGGGAACAACATTCACTGGGCTAGGTGGGGGGGGAGGAGGGGGTGGAGGGGAGGGGAGGAGAGGGATAGCAGTGATGGGGGAAGATGGGAAGGGATAACACCAGGAGAAATGCCTGAAGTAGGTGATGTGGTGGGAGGGGTGGGAGATGGAGACAGCAAACCACCATGGCATATATGTACCTATACAACAACCCTGCAGGATGCAGGATGTGCACATGTACCCCAGAGCCCAAAGTACAATATATATATATAACTTTCTTCTTTTTGTTTCTTCTTGTTCAGAAACAATATTCCTAAGAAAAGTGAAAATTATGGTCAATAACAACATGAGAATTTAACTGAGAATTAACATGGAAATGTTCTATAGATTATAGAAACCTATAATATATGTTCTATAATCTTATTCTGAATGGAACACAAAGATATCATCTACAAACCTTCTTGGCAGCTTTTGCCAGTGCTTACTTGCTTCTCCCAAGATGGTTTTTTGCTTGTCTACTTATCGAAGCAGTTGTGTTCTGGGTGTTAGTTGCACGGTAATAGTTTTGATTTAAACTATGTGAAGAAAATCTGGTTCTAAGAATTAATGACACTTGTGTTTATAGATGGGTGGCATTTGAGAATTGAGAGCATGTGTCAGCAAACTTTTTTAAACAGCTAGATAGGAAAGATTGCAGGCTTTGCAGACAGAAAGTTCTGTTGCAATTACTTAAGTCTCCTGCTACAACACAAAAACAGCAATAGACAATGTGTAAATGAATGGGCATACTTGTGTTCCAATAAAACTATTCTTTTGTTTAGGCAGAGTCTCACTTTGTCACCCAGGCTTATGAGTGCAGTGGCACAATCATGGCTCACTGCAGCCTCAACCTCCCAGGCTTAAGTGATCCTCTTGCCTCAGCCTCCGGAGTAGCTGGGACTACTGCCGTGCACCACCTTGCCTGGGTAATTTTTTAAATTTTTGTAGAAATGGGATCTCCCCATGTTGTTCAGGCTAGTGTCAAACTCCTGGCCTCAAGTGATCCTTCCACCTCAGCCTTCCAAAGTGTTAGGATTACAAGCCACCATGCCTGGCCAAAACTTCACTTTAAAAAGCAAATATTATGCCTGCAAGATACAGTGTGCTGGCCTCTGCTCGAGCAACTGGTAGAGCTTCTCCTAGATGTCAGTGGCACTGGTCATATCTTAATATTTTGTGGCACTTAAAAATAATTTAATGGCATATATGTCTCCTGATTTTGCTGTTTTCTGGCACCTTGCCACCAAAACATGCTACAGTCTTCTTAAGACTGGGTGAGAGTTATGATTCTAGACTTTGATACCATGAAAGTTTTTATGCTTGGTGATCCTCATCAGCTTGAGTCCTTGTGGCATTTACAGTTCTAGAAGGTGGTAGTTGATGGCATTAAAGGTAATCTGCCAATCTTAAAATCATAGTCCTTAGCCCATAGTAAACATTCAGAGAATGTTTGTTGAGTGAATAAATGATCCCTATCTGAGTCTCCAAAAGGTGCTAAAAATTATATCTCTAATATTTTCTAATTTCTCCACTCCATGTTGTTTATTCAGCAACTGGCAAGTTAATTTGGGGGAAAAAATGAGAGAATTTGACCATGTGGTTTGGATTTTCATTAATTCATACTTTCCAGATTAGTTAAGGATCCTGGGATATATAGGATTCGTTAAGAATATGTAGAGGTATAGAACTACCTCTAATAAGTCATGTTAAATGTCATATCTGGGTGTCTAGTTCAACTGCTTTACAAATATCTCTTATTGAAACTTGTTATATTTTCCAAAAGTGCTATAGAAAAATTTCTCCATGCCTCCCAAAAAGAGAATGCTATTATATTGATATCCTACTGGTCTCATTCTTAGATAAATAAATATAGAATTGTATCCCTCTTCTGCACCATTTTGAGAATGTGCTACACTGGGTTTACAGAACTCCAGTTTTATGAGTAAAAGTATAAAATAATGACAGTGAAGTAAGGTCTGCAGCTGACTTGAGAACATTGTTAGAAATAGACCATTACTTTGAAAACATACACACACAAATTCATTTATCCTTAATGGTTTTCTTTTTTGAGTAAAATAGCTAAGACAAGGTGGAAATTCCCTCTTCTATTTCTATAGAAGAGGGAATTTGCAAGCTCCACCGAAAAGACATATTAACCAACCAAGGTTTTGGCACCATCATGTGGCCATTTAGATTTATTTTATTTTTTCCAGATTTGTTGAAGTATGATTTACAAATAAACATTGTATATATTTAAGGTATACATTGTGATGTTTTGATATATGTATACAGTGATTACCATAATCAATATAATTAGCATATCCATTACCTCACATAGTAACAATTTTATGTTATGTGTGTTCATGGAGAGAACACTTAAGATCTACTCTCTAGACAAATTTTAAGTATGCGATATATAATCATTAATCATGCTGTACTTTAGATCTCCAGAACTCATTCATCTTACAACTGAAATTTTATGCCCTTTGACTAATATCTCCCCATTTTTCCTACAAAAAATCTACTCTCTATATCTATGTTTTACATATAAGTGAGATCATGTAGTATTTATCTTTCTGTTCCTGCCCTATTTCACATAGCAAAATATCCTCTGGATTCATTTACGTTATCACAAATGGCAGGATTTTCTTCTTCTTTAAGGCTAAATAATATTCCTGTGTATGTGTGTGCGTGTGTGTCACGTTTCCTTTACACATCCATTCATCAATCGACACTTACATTGGCTTCCATATCTTGAATAAATG